GTAATAAGTTTGCCTTCAAAGTAATACTAATACTAATTACAGTAATTATTATGCTTATAATTACGTGAGTGAAGCGTTAAGCAGAGATATTGACATGCTCTCTAGTTAAATTATATGGACGCTAAAGTGAGTTTACATATGCCATGTATTGACCTATTAATTCTAAAACAATAAGCCTACATCATTGGCTGTTATAGTTGCAATATATTATATTTCTAGAATGCTACAGAATTAGATATAGGCTCATAAAACCTATCATGAGATTTATAATATCCGCAATGACCCAAGAACGAAATATCACCCGTGAAACTTAAAAAAAGCTGTTCATTCCCCGTATATCGGGGCATTATCCAGTTGGTAGACAAATTGGCCGAGTGTTGTTTATAATCATAAATATTCGATACATACCTTCTACAGGTTCGTCCTCTTCAGGGCCAATGATCTCTAATGCAACTGCCTCCTCCCCTAGCTCCTCTATTACCTTCTCCCTCGGAACAGCCACAGTTTCTAAACATGAATAATAAATACACGACTGTAATGATAATGAAATAATGACCTAATTGTAACGATAGAATGTTTTGTAGTATATACCGAAAGGTATCATAATATCAAGAGTGAATAATAACAGATTAGTCACACAGGCTTTTACATGGGAAAATTAACAATGTGGACAATAAAAAGTCGCCCTTATTAACACCCATAATACGGTTTCTATGTGCCCACACGTACTCAACGCATACAGACACGCTCGCACGCACACACACACGCTCGCACGCACACACACACGCACAGGCGCGCATGCACATGTTAGCACGCACGCACGCACACACGCACACACGCACGCACGCACGCACGCACACCACACCATACCAATATATACAGTAAAGTTATCAAACGAGCAGACACTATGTTTAACGATTGTGATATATCTACAAACCTTCTATGACTCCAGCGACCATGCTGACCTCTTCGCTGACCTCCTCGATCTTCTTCGGTTTCTTCTTCTTCTTAGCGGGAGCCGTGATGTCAAATGCTTCGGATACCTCTTCTGGTGCCTCTTCAACTTTGGTGGGTTGCACTAGACTCACCTCCTCCTGCACCTCTTCCACGGGCGTTCCTTCATCTCTGATAACAGCTGGTGCCAGCATAGCTGTCATTTCTAAAAGTAATACCCACACTAAATTATGTACGTGGCCATAATTCGCCCTTGATTACAATTGGAAGTCAGAAAGCCAGTAACAGCTCTAGTAGAAGTAAAACCAGAAATATATATCGTTCTGTAAATCTGAAACACATATACACACGCACGCACGGACGCACACATACATACGATACATATAGCATGTTGTGTACGCACAATTATCTAGACTGTCGGACCCATTCACAATGCAAACGAAGGATAAATTGTACAATTTGAAAGCAGATAGTTGCATTATTTTTCCAATAAGCGCGTATATTCTTTACAATGGCCACCGATTCTTTTAATCACAAATCGTTTCATATTTGGTAATTTCACCAAATATGCGAAAACAATTTGCTGTTCTGCAGACTGCGCACCACTGCATCACCACGCCCCCTAGAAGTTTATGATTTTTGATCATTGGTAGCACTGTGATTTTTAATTGATTAAGACAACACACACACATACCCATTTGAACATCCTCGGCTACAGGTTCCTGGCGTTTAAACGTTATTTCCTCACTGACTTCTTCCAAATCTTCTTTCACCGGCTTAGGTGTGAGGCCAATGGTCACTTCTAGAATTTTATATTGATACACGTATAACTTGCCTGCCTTGTGTATAAGTAAGTTATATTATATACATAAAAACTTATGCGCATTTACGACAGAGGAAAATCGTTGTATAGAGAATGAAATAAGCCAAACGCGTCATTGAAATTATTAATTACTAGTCAATTGATAACATATTAATATATTCTACACAAAGTTTACACAGATCATATAACGACATGAAAATACAAAATGCGAACGTGGTTATGCATCTCAGAATAAAAATGAGGAATTCAATTATTGGATCAAATTTATTCGATTATACTGCAGCCAACAACCTTCGGCTGGAGCCTCTGTTGGCTTTTTCGGTTTCAACGTAAGCTCTTCGCCTACTTCCTCGGGCACTTCTGGTTTTTTCTTAGATATAGTAATATCTTCTGAAACCTCTTCCTTCTTAGGTTTCTTCTTTTTCTTCTTCTCTGGTTTTTTAACCTCAACTACGGGGTAAAACACAAACGGTAAATACGGGAAAGGGATGCGACCAATTGATATCACATGCTTTGATGACATTTTCACATTCAATGCTATGTGAAAATATTATAGTACAAAGTATGCATCATTGGCAAAAAATTACACGAAGAAAATGGGTGAAGAGAGGGAGCAAGAAATATATATATAGAGAAAGTGTGAATATGTTGGCATGCCTGCGCGCACGCACGAGGAAACGAATACAGACGTTAAAATAATGCCAACTACGAAGTGATATGGCATAAAAGAATGAGATAACAAGACACACCTTCCTGTTCAACCTCCACAGGTTTAGGTGCCTCAGGCGCCTTGGTCAACGTGACCTCAGCAGCCACCTCCTCAGGTACCTCCTCCACTGTGGGCTTGAATTCAGCTGTTACATCTTCTAAGGGCACGGCAGACAACGGTCACATCATGTCAGAATAAGGGCGTACTTAGAGATAGTACATGCACACGGATGTTATAGAGTCACCCAGCAACCCATTTCACCAAGGGGGAAATAAATACAATAGGTACATAGAACAACGATGAATTTTCTTTACCTAAAAGTCTAGAATAAAGTAATAACCAATTTTATACAATAGCGTCACTCCCTAACGCAAATAACAATACACAAACGAAGAGAAAGATGAGTAATAATTCATGCAGAAAGAACAGACGTTTGTCAACAACAAAAAATAAGTTAAATAACAATTATTTCATCATGCAGTCTGTGGAAAAAGGGGAATTTTAACAAACCTTCAACGATATCTTCTGCAACCTCTTCTTTGGTAAAGGCAACTTCTTGAGGCGCCTCAGTGGGCGTCTGTTCTATTTTCGATTTGAACGTAACCTCTTCCTCAACCTCTTCTATGGGTGATTCCTCTGGTGTGGGGGCTACAATGAGAACCTCTTCGGCAACCTCCTCTGGAACAGCCTCGATTACTGTCTCCTCAACTGGCTTCCTTGTGAGAGTCACTTCCTCCTCTACCTCTTCTACTGGGGCTTCTTCTGGCTTCCTCAGTACAAGTTCTTCTGTAACCTCTTCGGGAACCTCCTCCGGCACCTCTGGTACAACTTCCACATCGAATTCTAGATGGTATAATTCAAGATCAGAGAGTAATTAGTTTGTAAAAGCATAATACGTGTATATAAAAATATGAAAATGTTCATTTCTCAAGCTTCGAGATGATGAAACGCAGCATTGTGGATAAAACGATTGTTGATAAATTTTACTATAATGTTAAAATTTGTTATTTTAATACTTGTGAATGGCCTCATTTACCATCAATCTTCTATCACGCATCTGCATATCTATAGTGATACAGGCATGTCTCTTCAAAGGTATTAATAAATATAATAAAATACTCAAATGTCCTTCCAAAATAAATGTTACCAAATGTTACCTCTCCAGGTGACGATATGACTTACCTTCCAGTTCTTCCTGAGTAGGCCTTGCAATAGTGACATCCTCAGCAACCTCTTCTGGGATTTCTGATTAAAGCCAAACGAATCATGACACGCGTTAAAAGTATTCTTTGGCATTATTCCTCCACATGTAAACATTATCGCAAGCATTTCATACTAACATTATCGCAAATTTCCGCTACTGAACATTTTCCAGCAACATACAAGAATATTTGTACGAATGCATAGTCGTACTTACCCATATACCTGCTAACTGAAAACGTCGTAAACGGGTTGAAAAGCGAAAATAAATAGTGATAAATGTGAGAAGCATGAGAGTAGGATGAAAATAGAATAATGTTGATAATCGTGTGTAAATGTGTGCAAAATGTAAAAGGCTAATACAACTGCAGTGAAACGATATCTTTATTAGAATATACAGACGTATTTATATGATACACATACGGAGGAATAATTAGAAAGAAACCCATTATTAAAATGGACCGGAAGCAACGACTACGCATTTAGATCGATGACACGGGTTTCTGTCCCATATATGCTTCGCAATTCAATTCTGCAAGTCATACTGATGACAAACTCAGCCACTAATTGCTTAGAATATTATCACAAGTAATATTAATTTACAATATCTCAGATATATTATGAAGGACCAAGAGAATACAGGGTCTCAATTTTGGAATGTATTGATTTAAAAAATCAAAGGAAATCATATATAATGTAAACTAATATGTTGATCTTAATATTTCTGTACCCGCGGTAGCAGCACCCGTAAATCTAAAACGCGATGGCCCATCAAAACAGTACTGCAACCACATTAGATTTCACAGGCTTAGGGCTAACAAAGCAACAATATTCGGTTAAATATGTCCATAAAATAAAGAGCCCTCAGTACAATGGAATTGCCTCTACACATCGCAGGCACGATTTTTCTGAAATATGTGTTTGGATTCCCACTTCTGCTACAAGTGTCTGAACCTTAACATCTTTATTCCTCTTATCCTCACATCTAGTTCGATTTCTTTCACAATCGGCAGCTGAATTACAGTATCAAAATGCTTACGTTTTTACATTGTTTTTATTAAATTCCAAGATTGCTGGATCTGAATTTCCACGTGGTTGTTTTTCGGTGACTGTTTGAAACTAAAATATGTCATATATATTCCGTTTTGGCTTAAATATGTGACGAATGACGGCATAAGTTGCCCTTGGTTCCCTTTTCTTTACACGTTCTGCATAACATCTCTACTTCTTCCGAATTAACGCTATTAATCTAACATCTTTGATTTCGCCAGTGCCTTTATTTAATTGTACCTCTGTCAGACAATCTTCAGGGAAATATTCACTTATGACTCCTTCATTTCATCAGTCAATATAGGTATATCCCCTTCGCCTAATACACGGGTGAATTTTACCTACATAACTCATAAATCTTGTGCTGCTTGTTGTAGAAACGTGATTACATTCAGGGTTGCATACCTAATACGCATAACATAGTATAATGTAACGTATGGTACATTCAGTGTTTAACGTCATAAACGCGAAAAAACACATCTCAAAAACGCGAAAACCATTGTGTTACTAATTTTTTATTTAAACAACAGTTAGATATATTTCGGCATTTTGCAACAACGGTCAATGCGCATTTCTGTGCATTGGATAGCAACGTAAATTGGAAAATAATTTTTTTTTCTCACGTGGAATGATTTTCGTGCCATTTCACCATGCCATATTACTGTCCATTCGATTTCATTACCATCTTACATACCTAATCGATCATCACCTAATTTATTTCTGATCACCAATGTCAATTGTCACCACAATTACTCATGTCTCAATAGATTCCATGCCTCCTTTGTCACTATATTCCGCATTTTCATTTCCGCCTCTTTGGTCACTTCATTTTATAGTTGCAAGTAAATTCCATTTCCACTATGAGAATGTATTTGAAATGGAATTAATTACTAGTAATATTAATTAGGGAAATCATTATTATATGATACATATTGATAAAATCGATAATGTATCTAATTTGTTATATGTTAAAACGTGTTCGTATTGTATTAAGACTCACATGACATTAGAGCGATTATAAGTGTATTAAATTACTCAATATAAATCATTATGTAAAATATGCATAATAGATGTAAGGGTGGAAATTCAATCACAGTTATGGTATATGTAAATAAATATTAAACTGGGCACATCAAGGTCATATTGGAGGCAAAGGTCATATCTTGTAAACCTACAAGCTGAGACACACAAAATGCACAAGAAACAACTGAACAACAGAATAATCAATTGGAAATATATCATATAAATCTACCTAATTCAAACGATATTGAACCTAAGGAATAGTCTATTTGCATTAACCGCACGTAAAGCGTAATCGCTCTTTGCGTTTTGCGACTTTATGAATGCAAAGCGAGCAAACCATACAGCATAGTAACAAACCTGTAACTTCGTGCTCGCCGCTGGTCTTGAGCAAAACCGTCTGATCCGCCAGTTCCAGTGACACATCTTCTTCAGCAATTTCAACAACTCCAATATCAGTTGGAGACTCAATAGTAAACGCATCAGTAAGTTCTGGCCTAGGCACATTCATTGTGATCGCACCCCCACTGGTTTCCAATGGCATCTCTATGCCTACCACATCAGGGGATTGTGGTTGAACTACCATCTCCACTTCCCTACTTTCTTCTGTACTCATATCAAAGGAAACCTCAACAGGCACTTCTGGCTTCACCTCCATCTCCACCTCCTTGAATTCTTCTGTAGTTATATCAACAGAAACTTCCACCGGTATTATTGGTTGAATTTGCATCTCCACTTCCTTACTTTCCTCTGTAGTTATATCGATGGACACCTCAGCAGGCACTTCTGGCTGAACTTCCATCTCCACCTCCTTGAATTCTTCTGTAGTTATATCAATAGAAACTTCCACCGGTACTCTTGGTTGAATTTGCATCTCAACTTCCCTACTTTCCTCTGTAGGTATATCAATGGAAACCGCATCAGACATTTGGGGCTTAACTTCCATCTCCACCTCCTTGAATTCTTCTGTATATAAATCAATAGAAGCGTCCATCGGTACTGATGGTTGAATTTGCATCTCAACTTCCCTGCTTTCCTCTGTAGGTATATCAATGGAAATCTCATCAGGCATTTGGGGCTTAACTTCCATCTCCACCTCCTTGAATTCTTCTGTAGATAAATCAAGAAAAACGTCCATCGGTACTGATGGTTGAATTTGCATCTCAACTTCCCTGCTTTCCTCTGTAGGTATATCAATGGACACCTCAGCAGGCACTTCTGGCTGAACTTCCATCTCCACCTCCTTGAATTCTTCTGTAGTTATATCAACTGCTTTCCTCTGTAGGTATATCAATGGAAATCTCATCAGGCGTTTGGGGATTAACTTCCATCTCCACCTCCTTGAATTCTTCTGTAGATAAATCAATAGAAACGTCCATCGGTACTGATGGTTGAATTTGCATCTCAACTTCCCTGCCTTCCTCTGTAGGTATCTCAATGGAAACCTCATCAGGCATTTGGGGCTTAACTTCCATCTCTACCTCCGTGAATTCCTCTGTAGTTATATCAACAGAAACTTCCATCGGTACTGTTGGTTGAATTTGCATCTCAACTTCCCTGCTTTCCTCTGTAGTAATATCAAAGGAAACCTCAACAGGCATTTGGGGCTTAACTTCCATCTCCACCTCCTTGAATTCTTCTGTAGATAAATCAATAGAAACGTCCATCGGCACTGTTGGTTGAACTTGCATCTCAACTTCCCTGCTTTCCTTTGTAGTAATATCAAAGGAAACTTCTACAGGCATTTGTGGCTTTACTTCCATCGTCACCTCCTTGAATTCTTCTACAGTTAAATCAATTGAAACCTCGCCTGGGACTCTTGGTTGAATTTGCATCTCCACTTCCTTAGTTTCGTCTGTGGTTATATCAATGGCAACCACTGAAGGTGAAGCTGGGTGAATTTCTAAAGCCATTTGCTTGATTTCGCCCTCATGTCCAAGGTCAAGGCTCACCTCCGCAGGAGTAACAGCGTCTATCTTTAATTCGACTTCCTTTATCTCTCCATCAAACGGTACATTTAATTCAAGCTCACCAGGTTCAAGAGTGACATCCTCAGCAACTGCATTGAAATAACAACCTTTCAGCTTGGTAAATTATTAGCATGAATGCATTAGTATTAATAATTGCGTTCCTTTCCAAGTGGCATTAGACCTCCAAACCATGCCTTGGCATCAGGGTTAAACTTTAAGTCATTAATTCTGGTCTTGGCAAATCAACACAGGCGAAAACAACTCAGGCTACTTGGGAATGGTCTTGTGGCACTTCGGTTTAAATGGCCTCTCACCATGCCATTATCGTTGAGTGAGTAAATATATACGTAAACAAAATGTGTTAAATTTAACAACTAAAATTCATAATAAATAAATCGGGTTTAGTGTACATAGTAAATATGACAAGCATACATCACTGCCATCTATTTTTCTATATGGAATCTCTAAATAATATTATTAAGGCACATATCCATGAATGTCTGATTAGCGTGCATTCGAGTCCATAGTGAAACACAGCGCTTGTGCAAAACATGTACCTTGAAGGTTATGATATTGTAAACTAACTAATTAGATCAATATAGTAATTATACGCATTGAGCTCAGTTGCGATGAGCAAAGCAAAGACTAAGTGTTATGTTGAGTTATATAGCGCAATCACTGGTTCAACCCTCTATTAATCGTGCAACAGAACGGCACAACCCTCAGCATATTATGTCATTATTTTGCGGATTTGCGTTTTAAACAAACGCAATGAAGTAAGTTGTAATGTCCAGCTACTGACATAGCCCATTAGAAACAAGCCAAGTAATAAGTGGTGAACATGATTAGTCCTTAGAAGGTAAACACATCCTTTGTTTTCCATACGTAAATGGCAAAGAAGTGTAAACATGACAAAAAGCTTACATCATACATCAGGGGGGGGGGGGTTGAAGCCCACATATGAGAAGATTATTTAATAATTTTATCAATTGACTTTGTAAAAATAGAAATAAGTAAACAAGTTATAATATCACAGTCCCATAAAACCAACTATACACATTACAACAATAATGGTTGGTGACCATGATCAGCTGGCGAGGGTGATAGCTCTATCGAATTTCCATCAGTACGTACTTAAGTGAAAAAATCCAGTGAATACACAATACCATACCTGTGACCTCGTCCTTCTTAAGGGTAACCTCCTCATCAATCTCTTCAACGACAGTCGTTGGTTTTGGAGTAATAACAAGCTCCTCGGACACCTCTTCAATTTCTTCCTGGACGTCATCCTTCGTTTTAACAATGACTTCAACTGCTTCAGCGGCATCTGCAATTTCTTCGGAAGCTTCTTCTGGCTTGGTTGGGAGAACGATTGTGCTGGCCATTTCTTCTGATACTTCAGTAACCTCTTCTGTTGGTTTTGAGCGAATATCTAGCATGACTTCTTCTTCAGCTGTATCAGGTGATACTGCAGGAACGTCTGCAACCTCCATTACAACATCCTCCTCGGCAATTTCAACAACTTCAATATCAGCTGGAAGATCAACAGTCAATTCTTCAGTAAGTTCTGGCTTTGGTACATCCATCGTAACTTCTTCCACCGTTGTCTCTACTGGGATTTCTAAGCCGACCTCACCAGGGACATGTGGTTGAATTACCATCTCTGCTTCCTTGGTTTCCTCTGTAGTAACATCAACGAAAACTTCTACAGGGACAAGAAACTAAGGAAGTGGAGATGCAAGTTCAACCAGGCAGATGCAAGTTCAACCAGGCGTTCCTGTAGAGGTTTCCATTGACATGGCTACAGCCACTTCCTTGGTTTCTTCTGTGGGAATATCAAGCGCAGCCACGGAAGGTGATACTGGTTGAATTTCCAACTCCACTTGCTTGATTTCCTGCTCCTGTTCGAGGTCAAGGCTCACTTCTATGGGCGCAATAGCTTCTATTTGCACGTCGACCTCCTTTACCTCCCCATCATGTGGTACTTCTAATCCAACCTCAGCCGGTGTAACAGCTTCAACCGTGATCTCCTCGGCGACTGTATTGAAACAACATCCATTCAGCTTGATGCGACAATTAGCATTTATAAATTAGTATCGTTAGTTGCGGTACTTTCCCGTGTCGCAATACGTCTCCAACCCATGCCTCAGCAACATGGTTAAGTTGTAAGTCATTAAACTTGGTCATTCTCTTTAAAAAATATAATGTGATGTGCATCATGCATAGTTGTGTAAGTATGTATATAACCATTTATAAAATCAAGATGTTAAGTTGAATAGTTAAAAGCACATGGAATTAATTGACTATTTTAGTCGTTGTTATAAGACTGGCAGGTTATTAGCTATAGTTGGCAGGTATTGCTGTTCAGTTATTGCAGGAAGAATAATGTTAATGCAAATGGTTGCGAATGTCAAGTCATAGTTCAGTACGGTTATTTAACATTACCCGTGTTTTAACACATAGCATTTGTGCAAAGCAAATACCTATATAAGGTTAGCACCTGATCTGCCATGAATTAGACAATCAACATAACATAAACATCATACACTTAAATTAATTAAACATGGGAAATCCATAGGCGTTTGATGCAGCTAGCTGTTATGTTGAATATTGTATAGCAAAATTGCAGGTTTTAAATTGCCACTGATCATGCAAGAAGGAGGCACATGTGTGAGTATATTATCTACCATTTTTCCAATTGAGTTTAAAAACATAATTAATTAACTCCTTCACAATATAAAACTACCAATGAACCAGTTGGACATATCACAATAGTAATAGCCAATACTCACATGAATCTTACCAATTCAAAAGCGTTATTTGTTGCCTATCACAAGTAGAAAAGAAATATCGCAGATGGTACAACAAAATGACATACCTGTCACCTCTTCCTGTGTCATTGGCTTAAGGGTAACCTCCTCAGCAATTTCCTCAACGACGGTTATTGGTTTTGGAGTAATAACGAGTTCCTCAGACACCTCCTCAATTTCTTCCAGGATTTCATCTTTTGTTTTAACAATGACTTCAACTGCTTCAGTGGCATCTGCGAGTTCTTGGGAAACTTCCTCTGGCTTGGTTGGGAGAACGATTGTGCTGGCCATTTCTTCTGATACTTCCGTAACCTCTTCTGTTGGTTTTGAGCGAATATCTAGCATGACTTCTTCTTCAGCTGTATCAGGTGATACTGCAGGAACGTCTGCAACCTCCATTACAACATCCTCCTCGGCAATTTCAACAACTTCAATATCAGTTGGAAGATCAACAGTCAATTCTTCAGTCGGTTCTGGCTTTGGTACATCCATCGTGACTTCTTCCACCGTTGTCTCTACTGGGATTTCTAAGCCGACCTCACCAGGGACATGTGGTTGAATTACCATCTCTGCTTCCTTGGTTTCCTCTGTAGCAACATCAACGGAAACTTCTGTAGGAACGCCTGGTTGAACTTGCATCTCAACTTCCTTAGTTTCTTCTGTAGTCACATCAACAGAAACCTCTACAGGGACGCCTGGTTGAACCTGCATCTCCACTTCCTTGGTTTCTTCTGTGGAAATATCAAGCGTAGCCACGGAAGGTGATACTGGTTGAATTTCCAACTCCACTTGCTTGATTTCCTGCTCCTGTTCGAGGTCAAGGCTCACTTCTATGGGCGCAATAGCTTCTATTTGCACGTCGACCTCCTTTACCTCCCCATCATATGGTACCTCTAGTCCAACCTCAGCCGGGGTAACAGCTTCAACCGTGATCTCCTCGGGGACTGTATTGAAATAACATCCATTCAGCTTGATGCGACAATTAGCATTTATAAATTAGTATCGTTAGTTGCGGTACTTTTTCGTGTCGCAATACGTCTCCAACCCATGCCTCAGCAACATGGTTAAGTTGTAAGTCATTAAACTTGGTCATTCTCTTTAAAAAATATAATGTGATGTGCATCATGCATTGTTGTGTAAGTATGTATATAACCATTTATAAAATCAAGATGTTAAGTTGAATAGTTAAAAGCACATGGAATTAATTGACTATTTTAGTCTTTGTTAGAAGCCTGTCAGGTTATTAGCTATAGTTGGCAGGATTACTGTTCAGTTATTGCAGGAAGAATAATGTTAATGCAAATGGTTGCGAATGTCAATCATAGTTCAGTACGGTTATTTAACATTACCCGTGTTTTAACACATAGCATTTGTGCAAAGCAAATACCTATATAAGGTTAGCACCTGATCTGCCATGAATTAGAAAATCAACATAACATAACATCATACACTTAAATTAATTAAACATGGGAATCCATAGGCGTTTGATGCAGCCAGCTGTTATGTTGAATTTTGTATAGCAAAATTGCAGGTTTTAAATTGCCACTGATCATGCAAGAAGGAGGCACATGTGTGAGTATATTATCTACCACTTTTCCAATTGAGTTTAAAAAACAGAATTAATTAACCTCGTCACAATATAAAACTACCAATGAACCAGTTGGACATATCACAATAGTAATAGCCAATAATCACATGAATCTTACCAATTCAAAAGCATTATTTGTTGCCTATCACAAGTAGAAAAGAAATATCGCAGATGGTACAACAAAATGACATACCTGTTCCCTCTTCCTGTGTCATTGGCTTAAAGGTAACCTCCTCAGCAATTTCCTCAACGACGGTTATTGGTTTTGGAGTAATAACGAGTTCCTCAGACACCTCCTCAATTTCTTCCGGGATTTCATCTTTTGTTTTAACAATGACTTCAACTGCTTCAGTGGCATCTGCGAGTTCTTGGGAAA